TACGTTACACGGCGCTACACGCCACCAGTTGCGACTATAAGTATAATAGCGTGAGCGATGTATTATGTCGAGCGTCGCTGTGTTCTCCTCCTGTCTACGCGTCTATGATTTCAACTCGTACGTGTAATAAGACTGCTCATGTCAATGGCTCCCATTACGTGAGCAGCAGCCCTTGCATCCCCTCAACTCCCACACCCCGCTCACACTTCCCCCCCCCCGACGTGTTCCTGAGCAAACGAGTTACTTAGGCTATACACAAAGGCTATTGATATTCTAGTGTTGTTGGTCGGAGCTGCGTTCGTGAGCGCCCTTTGTCGACGCGCGAACGAGCGCATATATTGTAGTCGGTGACTCAAGACCCACGGCCAGCCAGTGGTCAGCTTGACCTCCGCCCCTGACCCCTGCCTTCCCGGACCGCCTCTGACTTTTCCGCTGTCGCCCTTACACCGTTCCTTGGTTCATCTTGACGATCTTTTTATGGTCACGCTCTGACGTCTTCCTCTGGTGACCTCTCGACCTCTTCCTCTGCTGAGCTCCGACCTCTTCTCTGTGACCTTCGACCTTTCTTCGTGACCTTCGACCTCTTGCTCTGTTGAGCTCCGACCTCTTCCTCTGTGACCTTCGCACCTTCTTCCTCTGCGACTCGACCTCTTCCTCTGTGACCTTGACCTCGTTCTTCTGCTGACCTTCGGACCTCTTCCTCTGCGAGACTATCGACCTGCTTCCTCTGTGCACTCCAACCTCTCTCTGCTGACCTTCGACCTCTTCCTCTGGTGACCTTCGACCTCTTCCTCTGTGACCTTCGATCTCTTCCTCTGTGACATTCGACCTTTTCCTCTGTCGACTTCGATCCTTTTTCTGTGACCTTCGACTTCTTCCTCTTAACCTTCGATCTTAATAACGCAACTTTGACCTATTTCATCGTCGCCTCTGAAGCTGCTGACTGTCCAGCGGCTTCTATAGCTGCTGCTAAGAGAAGCTGAGCTAAGTTGTAAACATAATTATACATGAATTAGAGCGTGTTCGTAACCTTCCGCGTGCGCGTGGTGGTGTGTGTGCGTGGTGCGGTCGTTGCTGTGCGTTTGTGCGTGACAACACACGGTGCCTCCGCTGTGTTTTAGCGTGGGACGTAGAGCCACACCTGGTGCCGCATGTCGCTATATATCTAGTACTATGTATTGTTTTTACCGGGTACGTTGCTCTCAGGTGGTAGTCTGAATTGCCTGCCTGCCTAACAACGCTCGAAACTTTGCTGTGTGTGATTATTCACATTCGACTGCCTTCCCACAGTAATAATCTTACCTTCCTTAGCATAAATCTCGATTTGCCCGACTCTGCCCGCATTACAATTGGAGTAGGGTCTGTTGTATGTGTGCGTGCGTGTGATACACGTGGTGTGTATGCTCGTGCGTGCGTGCGTGCGTGTGTGCTGTGGGTGTGTGTGTGTCGTTGTGCTGGTGTGAGTGTGTGTGTTATGCCGTGCCGTGCGTGCGGTGCCGTGTTTGGGGGTGTGGTGAGTGGAGAGTGGCGAGAGTGCGAGAGCGCAGTGCAAGTGCGGAGGTTGACACGCACGCTCATTGTAGAGTTACGGTTGACCAGAGTTTCCACTACTACTATTTTTCTCATATTTCTTCTGAGTTCATGGGGAATTAGAAGCCGTCCTAACCCTATTACTAACCTTATCCCTAACGCTATCCTAATCCCGAACTCTTACGTCCCATGCTGACCTATGCAATGACACCCGCAATATTCAGGCGTGGTGACAACCAAGGCGGCAAGATAAAAAAATCCGCCGAAGTCTCGGAGAAAATAATCATTAGCGATCGTTTAATTACTCGGCGGACCGCACAATTAATTAGCGTGCTGGGATGCTGGGTCGCGGATGCGTTTGCAGCGTCGCGCACAGGGAGGGGCGGGCCGGTTATCGAGCTGCGGCTTTCGGCCCGGTAATGCATGGCCGAGTTTTGATCGACAGCAGCGACTGCTGCGACAGGGCAGGCTGCAACGCTATCAAGCACACAGACAAGCCCAGAGCCAGCAGTAGCAGCAGCAGCAGCAGCAACAGTAGCACGCAGCAGCGAGCAGCAAAACAGACCACGCCAGCAGTAGCAGTTAGCAGTAGCAGCATGTTAGCCAGCAAGCTACCAGCCAAGTAGCTAGCCAGCAGCAGCTAGCAGCCATCAGCCAGCAGCAGTAGCAGCAGCAAGCAGCAGCAGCGGCAGCAGCCACGAGCAGCAGTAGCGCCAGCAGTAGCCAGCAGTACAGCAGTAGCCGAGCTAGTAGCCTAGCACGCAGCAGCAGCCAGCAGTAGCCCAGCAGCAAGTCCAGCAGCAGCCAGTATAACAGCGAGCAGTAGCAGCCCGAGCCAGCAATAGTAGCAGCAGCAGGCAGAGCAGCAGCCAGCAGCGAGTAGCTCAAGTAGCAGTAGCAGCAAGCAGGCAGCCGGCGATAGCACCAGCTATGTGGAGCCAGCAGCGCCAGCAGCACCTGCGTTAGTTAGCAGCCAGCAGGCAGCAGCATAGCAGCAGCAGTAGCAGCATAGCGAGCAGTAGCAACAGCAGCAGCAGCAGTGAGCAGCAGTAAGTGCAGCAGCTGATGCGCTTAGTAGCAGCGAGCAGTATAGGCTGAGCAGCCAGTAGGTAGCACGCAGAGCTAGCAGCAGTGTAGTAGCAGCGGAGTAGCAGCAAGCAGCTAGGCCAGCAGCCAGTAGCAGCCAGCAGCCAGCAAGTAGGCCAGCAGCAGCCAGCAGCAGTAACAGCATAGCAACAGCCAGCCAGCAGCAGTAGGCAGCAGTAGTAGCAGTAGCAGCGAGTGCCAGCAGTAGCAGCCAGGTCAATAGTAGCACAGCAGTGCAGGCAAGGCAGTAGCAGCAGCAGCAGCAGCTGAGCCAGCCTGTGAGCGTAGCCAGCAGCAGCAGCCGGGAGCAGCAGCGAGCTAAGCTGTCAGTGCCACTCCCAGTAGCAGCAGCGCAGCGAGCACGCCTCAGAGCAGCCGAGTAGCCAGTAGCAGCAGCAGCGACAGCAGCAGGCAGCAGCACAGCAGCAGCAGTAGCAGCGACTAGCAGGAGCACCGAGCAGCGGAGCGAGTAGCAGTACCAGCAGCAGCTTCAGTAGCAGGCATCAGCAGCATGTAGTAGCCCAGTAGTAGCAGCAGTATGAGTAGCTAGCAGCAGCCAGTAATTTAGCGAGCCAAAGCAGCCTCCTCGCTCATACATCCTACTCGGGGTGAACAATGACAAATTGTCATTACGAATAACTGTCATCACGCATTTAAATGAAAAAGATTTGTCAATAAAATTTGTCAAATGAAATGAAATGTCAAATTATTCACCCCTGATCGTACACGCTCGCCTCGTGATGATCACTTGTTTCACGTCGTCGCGAGACAGCGACAGTCAGCGTGACGACGTGACGCACACGTCGCCATAGCGCGTGCCAGCGACACTCACGCCGCTCCCACGGGGTGGGG